TGATGCAAAATCGCTGCTCAAGTGAGGGTTCCAGCTCTGTCGGGCACCCCTGCTGGAGCCGCTTTGGGCCCCCCTGTGAGGTTGTCCTGGGGCCAGGTGGAACCTGTGATTGGAACTCATTCCGCGTAGGCTGCGCCCTCGAGGGCCCCGGACGCGGAAACCTTGTAAAAACACAAGGAAAATGATGCAACATCGCTGCTCAAGTGAGGGCTTCAGCTCCGTCGGGCACCCCTGCTGGAGCCGTTTTGGGACCCTCTTGGAGCGCTCTGAGATTGTCCTCGGGCCTATATTGGAACCGTCTGCAAAACAGCCTTGGGCCTCTTTCAACAGCCCCTGCGGCCTCCGGAGCCCGGGACGCGGAACCCCTGTAAAAACAAAGGGAAAATGAGCCCCGGTACCATCATCATCATCATCATCATCATCATCATCATCATCATCATCATCATCATCATCATCATCATCATCATCAGCATCAGCATCAGCATCAGCATCAGCATCAGCAGCATCATCATCATCATCATCACCATCATCATCATCATCAGCAGCATTACCATCATCATCATCATCCTCCTCCTCCTCCCCCTCTCCCTCCTCCTCCTCCTCCTCCTCCTCCACCTCCTCCTCCTCCTGCCCCCCTCCGGGAACACGGTGCTTTGGATGGCGCCCTTACCGACCGCGTTTCGGGAAGACTCCTCCGGAACGCGATCGGTATCGGGGCGAATCATCGTCATCGGCTTGATCAGCATCGGTGCCGTCATTGGCCTTACCGCCCGCTTCGTCATCATCCCCACTACCGTCGATCTTACCAACATCGTGTCTACCATAACCGACGTCGCCACGATACCGCGCACGCGCAGACCACCGACTCGCACTGAAGTGCCCGGAGGGCACTGCCCAGCAGTAAGCGCCACCACGGCCGCGTCGGTCGCGCCGAACTAGCTGGCCGCTGTGCGCGCAAGCGTGCGCGCGCTAGCGCGGGCGCAGAGATGCACCAGCCAGCACTAAACAATTATCGCGATCGCCGCCGCATGGGCTTTGCGAGCCTAATTGCGGGCGGGTGGGTGTGATGATTGCGCGAACCGTGGAGTTGATAACTCACAGCTTGTCTGTATTAGATGCATCACACTTGATGCACCACGCAGATTGCACCATGTAGACTGCACCACATAGATGTCTCACATAGTTTGCACCACGTAGATTGCATCGATTGCGCCGCATTGTTTGCACCAGGTAGATCGCGCGACATGGATCGCACAACGCACGTATATTGCACAAAATCGATTCCACCGCATAGTCTGCACAACGTGTATCGCACAACATAGGGTGTACAATATCGACTGCACATCATAGGTGGTACCACATGGATTGAACCACGCAGGTTGCATCGCATTTGCTCTTTTTTCTAACGCAGATTTTGGATCTACCGCCCCCCCCCCCCCGAGACTATCGGGCGAGACTCGCGCATTGCACTTTGCATCGGATTATGTCTAAGCTTCATTTTACATATGAGCCCAAACCATCCCAGACATGCCAAACCCCCACCCCCCCCATCAACGCTTCCACGTGACACGATGCGCACGCACCCCGTGTGTTTGAAGCCCCTTTACAACCAACGTGTCAATGCCTACACACGCGCATGCCGAAAACGTTCAAACACAATTGGTTGCGTGGGGGGCAAAATCGAGGTTCCCGAAAATTTGTGCAAACAACACGATGTTGTTGCAACGCGTTGTTTCAAACAACCATGCGCGCGCACTCTTGCGAACCCGCACGAAAGCCATAATCTGTTCAACCTCCGTCAAATGAAACCAACCGGGCCTTTCGCGCGCGCGTGTCGAAGTCATTCGAACGCCTTTGCTTTTGCTGGGGCGGGGGGCCGCGCCCCCTCCCCAAAAATACCGACACGTGGACACCATCATCGTCATCAGCATCGGCGCCGTCGTTGGCCTTGCCGTCGTCATCGTCATCGTCGTCATCAGCACTGTCGCTATCATCATCGTGTTTACAGCTGTCAACGTCGCCATGGTACCGCGCCTACCCGAATCACCGACTCGCACTGACAAACCCTCGCGCCAGCGCGGCCTGCGAGTCGCGCTGGGATGTCCCCAGTGGTCAGCGCCACAGCGGCCGAGTCGGTCGCGTCAGACCAGCTGGCCGCCTTGCGCGCGAGCCTTCTCGCGCTAGCGCGGCCGCAACGATGCACTAGCCAGCGCCAAATTGCCATCGCATTCGCCGCCGCATGGGTTTGGCAAACAAAATTCCGGGTGGGTGGGTGGAATGATTCCGCGAGCAGTGGAGCTCAGAATTTCGAATCCGGCATAGTGAGGTGCACCACGTGGAGTGCACCACATTGGTTGCCCCACATGGACTGCACAACATATGTTGCTCGAGACACAAGATTTGGGATCCCACGCTGGCGAACATAATTGTTTTTGTGGTCGCGCCCAGCGCCCAAGAGTCCTTTTACTGTTTTCTGTGTTCCAAAGAATTACATCCTCGGGGGACCTTGTCTGTCCGTCGCGTCCCTATCCGCGTCGAATCCGTGTCGAATCCGTGCCGAATCCGCGTCGGATCCACGCCAAATCCGCGTCGAGTCTGCATCGAGCATGCATCGGGAACAAGGAAAGATACAAATTTGGAGGACGGGCGAGGTCCCCCGAAGATGCAACGTAAAGAAAGCGCAACAAATCACAGCTGCGCGCATCGGCGCCTCGAGTTCCCCTGGGGAGGGGAGGAGGGGAGGGGGGGCGCGTCCCGTGACTCGTCCAACTCATTGAAGCGGGTGCCCAAAGCAACCCCTAACCCACCCTGCCCTGGGGGGGCGGGGCGGTGGGCGGACGCGCTCCCGCCGATCGGAAAAAGCAACAGTCCCACCAGCCCGTTAGAGCGCGAGTGGCTTAGCGAGTGTCCTCTTCCATCCCCCCCTGCCTCCCTTCCGGAAAAAAAAAGGTTGACACCTCCCTCTGCCCCCTCTCCCTGGAGCTCGACGGGTCGCCCCGCGACCGATGGGAGGGTCAGAGAGAAGGCCCGGCGACGAGGCAAACATCACTGGTTTGACGTCGGTTGGGGCCACAAGGCTGTGAATGTGCTGTTGTCTTGCTGCTCCATCCTCCTTCCCGCCTCCTACTCCCCCTCCGCTTCCTCCTCATCGTCGTGCGCCTCCTCCTCTGATATCCTTCTGCATCACCGCAACGCTTGCGTACAACACGTCGCCTGAGTACACCACAGCAGCCACGTGCACCACAGCGCCTGCGTACTACACAGTGCCTGCGTGAATCACAACGCCTGTGAACACCACAATGCCTGCGCACACCACAGCAGCCATGTGCACCGCAGCGCACGCGTACGCCACAGAGCCTGCGTGCATCACTTCGCCCGTGTACACCACAATGCACGGCTCTGCGTGCACGTCGATGCCTGCGTGCGCTGGAGCGCCTATATGAACTCCTTACAATGTCCTTTGTAATCTGCAAATGTTCACGCCTGTGGCCAGTTTGCAAGGGATACCGTTACGGGAGGGGATCTGGGCGCGTAACTCTTGTTACCCCTGGGAGCCTTAAAAGAACTGGCGCCTGTGCAATTGCTTGACTGGTTTGACTGACTTGACTGTGAAAACGTTCGTTCTCAAAATGGCGGGGACACCATGCGAGAACACACGCTCAAAAGCTCCTTCGACACAAATGTTCGTGGCGTTAACGCGAGAGCCTCAGTTTGAATACAGAATCGGCTATACCCGCATAGCTGTTGCAAACGTTGAAGATGAATGTGCACGGCGCGAATGCGGGATCCACGCGTTCACGCCGATCTCGACAAAGCCCGCATGACTGCTGGGAACGTTACCAACGCGTGCGTCGCCAAAGAGAAAACCAAATGTTGAAAGCAGGCCGGCATCCATCTGTGGCGTTTGGGATGGTAACGTTGCGGGACCATGTAAGGCGAATCAGTCGTAGACGATCGACTCGGCCCGCCTTGTTGGGTTGCGACGATGGGGAGTCGGGGAAGGAGGGCACACAATGGAGGACTGGGAAGAAGAGGGCGAGGAGGAGGGGAGGAAGGTGTTGAGACAGGCGAGAAGGAGGAGGAGGAGGAGTAGTGCAAGAGAGAAGATGGAGAAGAGGGGAGGAAGCTGAGGAGGAAGTGAAGTAGAAAACATGGGGGAGGGGGAAGAGGAAAAGGGAGAAGAGAGGGGGGGGAGATGAGGGGTAGGGCAGGGACGGGGGAAGGAGGAGAGAGGAGGCGGTTCCCCAGCACTTCCAACGTAAGCCCCCCCCCCGTGAAACCCGAGCTGGATGCTGAACGCCACAAAACACAAGCGTAAGGTTCTGACAAGGTTTGGAAGGGTCATTCTGAGGACCATTCTTTGGACCGATCTTGGGTTTGGAAGGATCATTCTTGGGACCATTATTTGGGCCATTATTTGGACTGTTCGTTGGACCACTCTTTGGACCTCTTCGAGCACTCTCCAGGGCGCTCGGGCGCGGCGCGCGGCCGGGGGGAGGAGAGAGTGAAAGAGGGGGAGGGGGGGAACGAGGAGCCAAGAGGTGGGGGAGGCGGGGGATGAGGGAGATGGAAGGCATGGACGACAAGGGTCGTCGTCGGCGTCGTCAGAGTTGTCGTCAGCATCGTCGTCGTCGTCGCCTTCGTCAGCGTCGTCGTCCATGTCGTCGTCAGAGACGATAGAGGCCTCTTAGAAGGGGTCCGAGTGGACGGGGTCGGAGGGTCGCGCCGCATCGCCGATACATCGGCGATGCATCGGCGATGCATCGACGATGCACCGGCGATGCATCGACGACGTCGGCGACGCATCGGCGACGTCGGCGCGGGGAAAAACGGGCTGCACATCGAGCTGCATCGTCGATGCATCGGCGTTGCGGCGCGGAACCTTCGACTCCATTTACTCGGACCCCATCTGGGAAGCCTAGGAGGGTGCGGGGGATAGACGGAAGGGGGGTGGAAACGCACTCCCAGAAAATTCCTGGATCAGCCAAGACAAGGGTGGCCTGCGATTCTTGGCATGGGAGCCCACGATCTCCTTGATGATGAGGGTGACGCACACCGCAGCTGTCCACCATACTGCGACCATGGCGAACAATATCGCGCTCCTGGGAGGGCGGAGCACAAACACACGCGCAAGCACGATGGAAGATCGGACGTCCGCGGACAGCTTCTCCGCTTGCGCAAGCAAGACCCCCTCCCAACACCCATCCCCAACGGTCGGGGGTTGCCAGAGAAAGAACGCACACAAAAAACACCCCCAAGATATGCACCCCGACAAGCGAAGCTATCTAGTAGACGCGCCCAAGGAAGGAATCGAACGCTCAGTAAACGCCCACGGCCGCTAAGTAAACGCCAGTTATCGGGGTCGGGGTGCTTCTTCCTCCCTCGAAAAGGTGCCCCTGGTCCAAGGTGTCTCCAGCTTTTCGCGCCAGTTTGGAGCCCCCAGGGCCCTCTGGACCTCGCGAACGGCCACCAGTCTGGAGGCCAGCTGCGCCGCCGCGGGGCTCCTGGGGACACCGTGGCCCGAGGACACGATTCGTCACACGACACGTGCGAGGCACCCTTATTCGAGACGGGGCCATCGCCTCAGCGCCGCGCGCATTCGCCTGAAAAGGTTGAGCAATCTCTTCGCAGATGTGGGGAGGTCTTTTTCAGACTGGCTCTCGCCTCAGGGCCGCGCACATTCGTTCCGAGCAGTTGCACCAGCTTCCTGGACAGAAGGCGGTGCCCTTTCTCAAAGAGGCGTTCTTGCTTTGGCGCCGCGCCGGTTCGTGTTAAAACCGTGCAACGTCTTCAAGGGTTGAACACGGGTTGTTCTCAAGACGGGGCTCTCGCTTCAACGCCATGTGAATTCGTTTGAATCCGCTGTGTTTGACGACCCGGGATCTCAAACCACGTAACGCTGCACGGACCCACGGCGGCTCTTCTTCAAAATGAAGCTGTCGCTTGAGACCCCCTCGAAGACCATGACCTCAACAGATACATGGGTGTGGAGAGGCGTTGCCCGAACTTGGGATATCGCCGCAAACCTAGCTGAGCTGTATGACATCGATCGTCTATCGTCAGAGAATGCAAGGCAATTCCTTTCAAAAGAGGGGCCCTCGCCAACATGGCATGCCAAACTGCTCTGGTCTTTCAGTGGACACACTTCTTGTAGTGAAAAGGGCCCCTAGTATGGGCATTAGGACGGTGGACTTGGAACGGGAGGGTGTACTGCTGCATCGCTTATGCATATTGGGCGTGCTCTGCATTCCCCCTTCCTCTTCCCTCTCCATCCACCCCTGTTGTCCTCCCCTTCTTCCTCCTCCTCCTCCTCCTTCTTTCCTCTCCTCCTCCTCCTCCTCCTCCTGATGCTGATGATGATGATGATAATGCTGCTGCTGCTGCTGCTGATGATGATGATGATGATGACGATGATGATGCTGATCATGATGAAGATGAGGAGGAGCAGGAGGAGGAGGAGGAGGAGGAAGAGGAGGGGGAGGGGGAGGAGGAGGAGGAGGAGGAGGAGGAGGAGGAGGAGGAGGAGGAGGAGGAGTGGAAGAGAACGGGGAGGAGAATGAGGAGGAAGAGGAGGAGAAGGGAGGAGAAGCAGGAGGAGGAGGAGGAGGCGAGAAGGAGGAGGAGGAGGAGGAGGAGGAGGGGAGGAGAAGGGGGGAAGGAGTACAAGGAGGAGGAGGATGAGGAGGAGAAGGGGAGGAGAAGCAGGAGAAGCAGGAGGAGGAGGAGGGAAGGAAGAGGAGAAGGAGGAAGACGAGGAGGAAGGGCAGGAGGAGCGGAAGGAGGAGCAGAGGGAGAAGGAGAAAGGGACTCTGCTGGACTCTGCTGAGAAGCACGCACGTGCGATCACACATCACGGCGGGCACGGTCTGGGCAAGCATCGGGTGGGACCGTGAGCACAGCCCCTGCAGCGGCACCTCCCACTCAAGGACGGCGGGGGGACAGCTCACCACCTGTCGCGGGAGCCTGGTGCCGCAGCGTCACTGTGCCCCTCGTTCCGAGAGGCTGCCCGGGGCCCCCTTCGCCCCACCTCGACCACGGGAAGACCAGCAGCGGCTGCCTCGTATGCCCGAGAAGCGGCCTGGGGCGGGGGGGACAAAGGGATGCCTCCGCTGGGGGGGGGGGGGGGGCCCAGCGGCTCTCAGAGCCTGGCGGAGGAGGAGGAAGAGGAGGAGGAGGAGGACGACGAGAAGGAGGAGGAGGAGAACGAGGAGGAGCAGGAGAAGGGGAAGTAAGAGGAGGGGGAGGGGGGAGGAGCAGGAGGAGGGAATCATAATATTAATAAGAAGACAATCAAACAAAAGTATCATAAACAATTCAGAATAAGAATAACAAGAGTCATACTATGAAGAATAAAGGAACGATGATGATGCGGATGAGAAAGACGAGGGGCAGGAGGGGGAATCTTCCCCCGCCCCGGAAACTACGAAGAGCGTCAACCGAGGAACAACCAACTACTTGCGCGCCCGGGAAGGTCAATTGCCGATCCAAGACAGCCGCGTGCCCCTCTGAAAGCTGTGTTTGTATAGTAACATGTCTCTCTACCGAAGCGCCTCCTTTACATTGTGCCTCCCCCCACACCCTAGGCGACATCAGCTGACCACCTCACCGATCCTGGCTGGTCTGATCCCGGGGCCAGGATCGGCATATACGCCCCCTGCCCAAGCCACAAGGGTGCAGACAAAGCCCAGGGGCCCAGGAGACCACCTCGGATTGAGGTGGGAAATGGGAAACAGCGGGGCCGAAGTCTTGCAACAAACGCTATCAAGAACCGACAGCGGCCGCTGCTGAAACGCGGCGGTCGTGTCGAATGGACAACAACCGCGGTGGCACCAACAGCGAATCTCGCTGAAGACGGTCAGGAACTTTTGCCTGCCTCCGCCTCCCTGTTAGGGCTACGGGATCGATGCACATCCGAGCGGTGTTGCGCGGCCTCCGGCCATTGCCAAGGAGCATATACACCGCTCCAAGGGCCTGCCTGGACGGCGCGCGCAAGGGGGTGAGGGAAGGAGGTACTTGAGGCTTTTTAGGAGGCTGCTCCTTCGAAGGCTCCGGCCCTACACCTATAGACAAGGCCCGCGCCTTCTAAGAGCCAGGGGTGCTTCTGAGAAGCCTTCCAGCCTCCCCCTAGCCCCCTCTGCGCCCCAGACCCCCGACGTCGTGACTCCTTCGCCACGCCGACCCCCAGAGGTCTGGACCCCTTCCCCGGAACCGGTCCTTCATCCCGAGTCGTTTCTTTGGCGGCCCCGAGGCCCGGCGAAAATCCTGCCGTCGTGGCTTCTTCAAATAACTCGAGGGGGTCTGTAGAGTAGAGGCCTCCTAGATGGGGTCGGACTGGATGGGGTCGAAGGATCACGCCGCATCGTCGATGCATCGCCGATGCATCGGCGATGCATCGGCGATGCATTGGCGACGTCGGCGCTGCATCGGCGACGACGGCGTGCGGGCTCCACATCGAGCCGCATCGCCGATGCTCCGACCCCATCTGGGAGGCCCAGAGTCTGGGAGGGCCCCCCCCCTCGGGGCCGCGGGGAACCTTCGCCCCCCCTCTGCGCGGGACGGACCCGGCCCTGCCCGTGGCCCCCACCCTCTGGCCGACCACCGCCGCCCCGAGAGCGCCCGGAGCAGCGCCCGCCGCGGCGGCAAAGGCGGCCCCGCCCACGGCCGACGCCCACGGCCAGCCCACGGCCGACGCCGACGCCGACGCCGACGCCGACGCCGACGACGACGACGAGCGGCCACCGACCACCGACGACGACTCACGACGCCAAAGGCCACCAGAGACGACGACGACGACGACGACGACGACGACGACGACGACGACGACGACGACGACGACGACGACGACGGCGGCGACGGCGACGACGGCGACGACGGCGACGACGACGACGACGACGACCACGACCACGACGACGACGATGACCACGACCACGACGACGGCTTGACCGGCCCACGGCCAGCCGACGGCCGACGACGACGACGACGAGCGGCCACCGAACCACGACGCCAACGGCCACCGGCGCGTGTGGCCGAGGAAGGCTCCACTGCCACCACGTCTGCCGCCTGGTGGCCTGGGTTTTCAACACCCCGGAACAGGGATCGACCTGAACAATGAATGCTCTTCGTCTTCCCTTTGCTTCCGTGTTCCCTCGCACTGTCTCCACTCCGCCTGTGCTGCAAAACGAGATCGACACGAAAACGGCCCACGACATCACCCAAACACCGTTCAGGTCGACACTGTCCCCCCCCCATCCCCCGACCCCTGCTCTCCTGAGGGGCAACGATAGGGGGGGACTGGCATAGGGGGGTATGCATCGACCTGAAATCGGCGATGCCTCGCCGATAGCTTGGCGATGGGCCCCCTATGGCGAATCCCCACGTTTCTGGGCGGGGTGGGTCTGTCGGGCCCCTGTCGGAGGTGAATGGACGATTGGGGGTCGATGCATCCCCCCAGATGTCTATCCCCCTTTTTCGTTGCCCCTTATGAGACGCACGAAGTCATACTAGTACTATAGGATCTCCTTGGAGGCGCTGGAGGCGCGCGTCCGACCCGAACATATAGTATACCCATCTTGTAGTCTATCGTTCCCCGAGCGGCAAGGCCAGAAAACGCCCGCCACGACGCATATACGAGAAGATTTCTCGGTGCTCGCGTCGCCCCTGGTTTCTCGGCGCGCGCGTCACCCCTGGGGGGGCGACGAACATATAGTATAAGTGCGTTGGGGTGACGCCGACCTCACCCCCCGCGCGTGGCCGGGGAAGGCTCCACTGCAACCACGTCTCCCGCCTGGTCTCCGCCTGCCACCCCGCGTCGCCCGCCACCACCGGCGAGCCCCCGCACGCCTCCGCGCCACCGGCCTCGCCGCCCGCGTCGGCGGGGGTGCCACACTCGTAGCGGAAGGCCACGCGCTCCTGGCAGTCCTGGAGCTCCGAGGAGGCTCGCGGCTCGGGGCTCGAGGTTCGCCCTCCTCCCCATTCTCTCCCTCCCCATCCTCCCCCTCATGACCTCCTCCTCCGCCAGCCTCTTCCTCCTCCTCCTCCCCCTCCAGTCGAAAGTGAGCCTGGTAGCTCAAATGTGGCATATAGCCTGGCAAATTGCGTCCATCGCTCTGCTGTGAAGGTACAGTATGAGGGGTGGACGGATAAGATAGGATAAGATCGATGTAATGATCTTTCCAGCACATAGCGAACACTCGCGGTGTCCGGGCAAATAGGGCGCGCGTGCCTTGAGCCAAAGGCAACGGCGCGCGAGCTATGCTCCCGATACTGTAACATCTCCCAAAGAGCGACCCTTAAAGTCGGGAGGGGAGGAGACGGAGAGCATAGTCGCACGCGAAGATCGCGCGCACGACTGTTTGCAAAAAAAAAAAAAAAAAAAAAAAAAAAAAGTGCGTACAGTCTGGCCAAACACCAGACTGTAAGGCGAGTTTCCTCGCAAAGTATTTCACGCAAATACAGGACAGCCCCTTCAAACAATGAAGGGCTATCGGCTCAGTTAGAGGTAGGCCAAAATTAGGCCATACCTCACCAAGCAAATGTGTATTAAGGCAAAGAGCCTGAGTTGTACGAAGCCGGCTCGTTGCCAGGCGTGAAATATAAGGCTCGTTTCCGAGCAACTAGAGGGGCGCCCTTATAGTAGGCGCCCGTGCTGGCAAACTGGACCGCGAGGGCAACAAGGACAGACTAAAATTGATTAGACTTAGGTTTGTCTCTGTCCCCGGGACCCCGAAAGGGAACAAATTGCTTCACGTCATACTTAAATGACTGAGTGCCTGACATCACTTCCAGAAGCAGCTCCCGATCGATGCTTCCCTTTGTATGCCCATCTGCGGTCATATCCCTAGTATCACACCATTGCACATTATGTACTATACCTATATCCATGAGCTCACGTATCCAGCTGATATGTCCAAGCAGAGTCCGTTCTGTAGGTATTTTGAGATCCCTGCTTGATAAAGATTTGTAGACGGACTCGGCGTCTATGGTAAGAGAGACTTTGATAGCAAGGCCTCCAACTTCACGCATGTCTCGTAGTTGTCGTGGAGTCAAAGCCCCTGCCTTAAGCTCGTGGAGAGTAATGAGCGTAGGGTAACACTCATCAAGGTTATGTGCGGCTGCAAGTGCCTCCGCAGCATAACTGGACCTCACCTGTAATCGGTGTGATTTGCATAGTCCGTCACAGAGGTGAACGACGGACTTGCCTTGAGGCGAGTTTCCTCGCCGTAGTACGTTGGCCCCGCGTATGCCGTAGCCCTTGGTCTCGTCATCCTCCTCCCCGGTAAGCTTCCGATACCCCGAATCGCTATGGATGTCAACTTCATTCGTCGGCTTCATCCGAGGGAAGGTGATACGTTTCGGGCTGCTGATCAGCTTTCGCGTCACAGCATTCAAACGTCTGACTTGCAAATTGGTGGGCTCTTGAATTTTCTGAAGAGAGACCACATATACCATGAGCCAGATTTGGGTAAGAAGGGCATAGGCGAGGGCTCCTCGCAGGCTGACGAACATGTCGGTAATGAGTTTCGTGGCTTTGGCGTCGGCCGCCGCTCCTGTAAGTTCTGGGTGTGTGATAGGACGTAGTTGTTTAATATACTCGTCCTGGTCCATGATCACATCTCCCTGATCATTCTTAGTGTAGCGAACGGCGCAGTTCGTATATGTGTGCTTGTTGAGCTTGCATTTGCCAAACACCTTTTCGACACGTTGTACATAGTCGTCTATATTTTTCTCTAGACCTGTCATGTTAATATCATCGACATGTTTTGCCGTCAGAAGGTCTTGGCTGAATTCAAATTCAGGATCGTAGCTGGTCGGTGTAAGTCCTATAGCTCGTGTGGTCGTACGAAGTTTGAGAGAGAACGCTCTTGGAGCGTCCTTAGTACCCGTTCCTGGTTTGAGGCATCTAAGACAGTGTCGACTTTCGTCGTAGGATGAGAAGCCGGGTAATGTACGAAGTACCTGAGCGCTTCCTGGTGGAAGAGTAAAGCAAACCATGCGAGTTTCCTCGCCGGTGGCATGGGCAAGTTCCTCATAGGTCAAACCCTTGAGGAACGCCTTATCGATATCCATGGATGCTAAGATCCACTCTGGATGGCATGCCGCTTCACTTGCCAGGAGTCGTTGGGACTGCCTTCGGGCGGTTCCCGAGAATGTTTCCACATCAAAAGCCTCAGTATCCATAAATCCACGAAGGACCAGTCTGAGACGAAAGGGTTTTAACGTTCTCGGTACCCATCTTTACGAACTTCCACTTGTATACATATCTGGATGTCATGATGTTGGAAGCTTTGGATAAATCGTACATCTCAAAGCATCGGCTTATCAATCCAGATTTTGAGCTCAGTATATAAGGCTTCACTAACCTCCTTTGGATGTGCTGCTATGTCGGCTTTGGTCAGTAGATCATCTTCTTTGACAACCACAGCACGTTTAGCAGCAGAGGATACATATACTCTCATCGTTGCGACCATATCGGTATCGAGCTGTGCAAGTTGAGTCTGATCCAACACTATTTTTGACATTTCTGATGTAAACCATAGTTCAACGTAAGGCCCGTATTCATCACTGTCTAGAAAGTAGCTCTCGTCGGTTGTGTTTGAACAAAGAGAGACTAGACAGGACTCACATGATTTCGGCTCGTCTCCGAGCATATCTGATGATATAATATCATCTTCGTCCACAAATGCTGAAACCAAAACACATTGGTCGGGCAGCGTAGTTGTTGGGACGCAATAGAGATAATCATCGGTAATCGTCGTAGGATGAAGGTCCATACGTAGCTCGTCGTACCACTCTTCCAGCATCATAGCTTCGATATTGTGTTCCTCATTTTCCTCATAGATTGTCGACAGACGGCCTTCGCTCGGCGATGAAGCATCTGGTGTGTCTGGAGAAGGCCTGTTTCCAGGCGGCTCGTGTTCTCCAGACGTGTTGCTTGAATGCTGATATTTAGCCAAATCGTCGTGAAAGCCTAAGGAAGGGACACGTGAAGTCAAGCATTGAATAAGTCTGGAGTGAGTGCTTCCAGTGATCTGAGAAATGTTTAAGCCGGTGCCCACACATTCGTAGTAGTGGAACGCCGGGCTGATGTCGTTGTCATAGTGGATCAGCGTAGACCCGGTGGCGTACTTCACTGCAGGTAGGCTTGACACACTCTTAGCCAATCGAACTGCCACTACATGTTCTACTCGGAAGTAATTTCGTACGAGGTACTGTAGTGCTAAGTGCACGCGCGGGTGAAACTTGCTGTCGTCTGAAAGATTAAGGTTTCCCTTGCAATCGGGGATATAACCGAAAACTTTGGCAGGTTTCCCTGCGCCAAGGTGTGCCACATAAGCAAGGGCGGTTTGCATGGCCATATTGTCCATGCCAAGTTCCCGTGTGAGGAGACATTCGATGTATAGTGTGTGACGAGCATCAGGATACATCACAATTACCTCACGAGATCCTGCCTTGACAACAATATGTCCTCTTTCAGGCACATTGCAGATCACCGGGAATGGGCCATTCCAGCCTCCATGGTCGTCCTTGGCGGCAGTAGGTCAGTGGTAATCGACCAAATCTCCTGCTGAGGAAAGGCGAGCACCATCAGGAGTCGTCTTAGCCCTGAGAGCTCGATTTGTCTTGGCCACAGCAGTAGCCTGAGTTATAGCTTCTAGGCTGACTTCCCTTACACGACGTTCTCGTTCGTGCCCTGAAGTCTCAGGTCCCTTGGGAAAGTCAAGGGTATCGAGATCAGGGAGGAAGGAGGGCTGACGTCCTGTGTGTGCCTGATATGGCGATACTCCGTTATAAAACGTAAACGCATTAGTAACGAAGATGCCTTCCGCCAATACTCGAGTGAATACAACAGGGATGTTGTGTCTATTCAATTCTTCCTCAATCATGTGGAGGACGCCTCTAAGAATGCCGTTTCGTGACTCAACTGAAGTCGCATGTTGGCCAGGTGCTCGGATACGAAGTTCCGTGCCCTTATTGGCCATCATGGTTTTAGCGGCATCGTTATTCAGGGCGCCTTCTCCGTCTGAGTATAAAACTTTGAAGGGTCCGTGATAGGCAATCCAGCAGTAGTGGTAGGCGTCGATGATAGCGTCACGTTCTCTGTCGGAAATTTCTAGGCCTGCTGCCAGGCGAATACAACGATCCATACTATGAAATATGGTCCGTTTCTTGTAAAACATGAGGTCCATTTCCCCTTCATCGAGCCAGTTACCAGGAAGGCTCACCGATGGTAGTGTTGAGTTTCCTGGACGTTCCCATGCCCTGCATTCCCGACAGGTATCGCAAACTTCCTTGATCATGTTCAGTCGAACGTTATCAAGCCCCACCTTTTCGAGGATTAGCCTCATCTTTGGCTCCTTCGCATGATGCCATCGCAGATGCAGTTTTCGGAATTCCTTTTTCACGACATGAGGTTCGTGACTACGGAGACTCTGTAGACTGTGTTGGATGTCGAATCTCGTCCAGTCGGGTAGTCGTGGAGCCCCAGAGCCGGTGGAGGCAAGAGGGTTCCTTGTAGCTCTCCGTAGTTGGTCCCCTGTGTTAACTGCGTCTGGAGGTGGTGGTACGCCTTGTAGACGGCCGCGGCGGGCCGCTACCTGTGGCACTTCGCTAGAAGACGCAGAAGGCGTGTTTCCACGCTCGGGGGCGTCTCGTAGCATGTCGTAGCTGCTGGCACCAGATGTCGGATCGACGTTGCCGAAGGATCGTGGTCGCGGTGGCCTGGCGTGTGCGCCTTGACGGCCACCTGAAGCTGAAGCTTGGCCCTCACCAGGTTTAGGTAAGGGTTTCCACCAAGCTGGCACGGTTTTGCCTTCGGGGTCGTGGTCGTCTGGTAGTTTAAATGGTTCAGCAAAACGACATTTACCAGGTTCGGTATCGAGGTGGTTCTTAACACCCTTGCTTCTCGTAAGATCCCTCTGACATGCTGGACATGGCCAATATACAGAGATGGAATCATGATATT